TACATACATATATACATGCATGCATACATACATACATACGAGAGAGGGAGATTGGGGAGAGAGTGGCTTGGGGGGATGGGGAGGATGGGGAGCGGAGGGAGGGACCAGGGAGACAAGGGAGAGAGGAAGACGGAGAAAAGGGAGAGGACAATGTCGGCGGACTGAGCCGGAGGCCGCAAAAACCCAAAAGGCAGCCGGCCCCCTCAACAATGAGACACCTGGAAAGCCAACCTACTGGAAGCCAACACACTCTGAGCCCCTGGAGGAGGGTTCCATATCCGTCGGGCTAAGAAAAAAAGACTCGCCGGCCGGCCTTGGGGCTCACGATGGACAAGAGCACTGCCAGCTGCGCCTGTCAAACAAAACTACGTGCGCCTGGGGGGGCTCCCGGCCAGCGATGGACATGATATCTCCTGTACGCTGTCAAATACACAGTATATGATTTTCGGGGTGCGCAGAAGCCGACAGAGCTCGACTCACAAAGGTTCATGCAGGCCTCGCTCGAATCTGGGTGAACCGTAATCCCAGCTGCCTAAAGGATCGAGAAACAGAAGCTTCAGCTTTTGGGGCCGTGGACCAAAAAGGGGAAACTGAAAAGTGAAAATGGCGCTTCGCTTTGGGCAAGCACTGATTCACCATCCCAACAGCTCAACGTGGGCGTAGTCCTACCAGCTTGGCCAACCGTTTTGTGTTACAGCAAAGGGGTTGGTTGTTAAGGGGAACCAAAACCCACAAAGCATCAACAGGCTGCTCTCTTTGCCCCACCTAGCGAGGGGCTGTTTGGATTGCGATGGTGGCGGGATTGTGTCATGTTCCACTCCAGGTCAGCTTCTCGTTCAGGACATGAGCTTTCTTGCAAAACCAACCAAACCATGGTTTGCAGCGCTCAATCTGTCTGATGTTCTTGTCCACTATAAATAATATGTTTAAAGGGCCTCACTGTTAAACTCCAGGAAACCAGGCGACAAGGCCTCAATCAAGCGGAAGAGAAACTCCTCCTGCTCTTGGAGGCTCCAGTCATTCACACAAGTGTGGACCACCCCGTTGAAGTCCAAATACCTTTGCTGGAAATGATTGGAAATGCTTGACACTGCATGCTACTGGCCACCTCAGCCGGTTGATCCAATGGCCAAATCAGGGAGAGCAATCTGCTTCTGTTGGCTCGAAGAATAAGCATGCAAGCGCGTTCCCCTAGAACATGTTGTCTCAAGGGCCGGCCGGCTTCGAAGGTCCAAACCAAACCCAACATACCGTGGGCTTCGCATGTTGCAGCTCTTGGGTCCCAACCCTATGAATTTCCATGAATCAAACAACGACAACAAACAAAATAAAACAAACGAAACAAGCAAAACAAGCAAGAACCATGAACCATGAATCAAACCTGGAATCCGCTTGGCCAAGCCACAGGTTGTCGAACTCATAGGGCAGGCTGCAGCTTTTCGCCCGCAAATACGGCACCCGGCGCACGGCCCAACGGTAGAACCCAGGGACGCCCATCGCGCCGTTGGCGCACTCAGAGCGCTCAAAGGCAGGGAAGCTGCATGTTTTTGTTCTTTGCGTTTCGCTTGAAAATGCGTTGTGCTTCTTTGCTTTTGCTTTCTGTCCGAAAACTGACCTTTAGACAATCTGGAAGGAGACTACCTTCGAGATGGCAACCGAAAGTGCTTGTTGGTCTGGGTATGTCAACACAGGCAGGAAAAGAAACTGTTGGTTCAGAGGTCAAAAAGGAACCCGTTGCATTCTCAGATTTGACCTGCAGAATGAACTTTGCCGACCGCTCACCCGTGCTGGCAAATGCTTAAATGCAGCGCGCCCCGCTTGGCCTCTGCCTTGAGGACTTTTCATGGGAGGGCTCCCGGTGTGCCTCAGAGGTGCGACTGACGAGTCTGTCCAAGCAATATGCACCCTGCCCCACCCCCGTTTTCAATGCAATGATGCCGCAGGCTCACAAATTCATGCAGCCTGGAAAGGCCCTTGGGTGAAACGCAAAGCAGGAAGCAAGTGTCCAAGCCATGCACCTCAAGAGGCTGTTTGCGGGGAAGCATCCAACTCAACCTAAACTCAGGCTCCCTGCTTCCCTGCTTTGCAATCCATGTTACTTTGAACAGACCTGGAATCTCCTCAGCATCTGCTAGTCATGGTCTTGCTTTGGCTTACACTAGTCAACATTGAGCTCGGTATGCAGCGTCCCGATGGCAAGGAATTTCCTTCACGGCATGTCTGGTATACGCTTCGGCCCCTCACAGAGGCGCTTGGCCAGGGATTTGTAGTCGAAAAGACCTGGCCGAATTTCGAAATTAGTTCTTGATGGCCCTCCGAATCTCAGGCTTCCCTTTGGTTGTCCTTCAAGCCCACCTTCAAAAAAAGACTCGAAACCAAAACGCTCAAACCCCAAAAAAACTCGGGGAAAAAAAGAAAGCACTCAAAACACCACGAGCCCAAAAGGAGTCGCCGCACAAAAGCCGAGGAGACAAGAGGACGATATGCTGGGAAGTTCACTTGGTCAACTCGGAAAAGGGGAAAACAAAAAACAGGTTTAGCATCTAGTGTTCAGAAGTACTCCCTCACCAAACCCTGGGTTGAAGATGTCGAGGCAGCCCCTTGTATTGGAATCTTGCGCACGGCCCGAAATTCCTCGGCAATCCAGAAGAATTCTGACTTGATACCCGTCCTATTGGTTGTCTGTTTGTTTGAGGTGATTGGCTGTTGAAAAAAATTAAAAGCTTAGAAAAGACGAGCCGCCCATTCTATTCCCAGTCTCATCTAGGTCACCTACAATTCTCCTGCAGCTTCGGCACCCAGACTCATGAAACTCGGCCTTTGTCATCCACGTCGGCCTCTTTCAGAATCGCATCCACCTGCGATTCCCGAGAGGCTGCGGCACGCCGTCAAAACTGGGAACTGACGACTTCAGAATAGTTGCAAGGCCAACATACTGTGAGTCTGTGAGTCGCAGTCGTGCTCGGAAAAGGCACAAAACCAATAGCTGCTAGGGCCGTCCCATGTTTAAAAGCTCTACATCAAATGTCCGTTCGAACCACCTCAACAAGAGGATTCTGAAAAGGAGGGGCTCCCCACATTGGTTTCCCTTAAAAACCGCTCAACAAATGCATACCGTATACCCTCCCGTGCTTTTCTAAAGTATTGTTCATCGATGCAACACATACACGTTACTCCATACATTTTGCGTGTCGGCCCTCGTGATAACACACAATATGCTCTCAAAAGTTTCAGTCTGTCTTGAAACTACGGTCATGCAGCCTATGTCAAAAACCTCGAGTTTGTGTTTTGGGCACTGCCTGCCCCAAGTTTCGCAGGAATCAGTCAAGCTGACCCACCCTTCAAATAGGAATCCTCTACATTCTCTATAGGGTCCATGACCATCCCCACCTGCAAAAGTGATCACAAATGTTCCGGCTGCTGTTCCCTTCTCCCCCCCCCCTCTAAAAACAAAAGACGGCACAAGGTATCCGCCTCATGCTCCTGCATGGGGTCGCCCAGGGACGTAAGCATCTCCTGAGACATCTGCTCGAAATGGGTGAAGGAACCCCCACAAAGCATGTCCATCTGATTTTCCTTTCAAATAGCCCCAAGCGTGCCCTCAAAACAAGACACGCCCAAATGGTTTGGCTTGTTTTATTTTTTTTGGTTGCGTCATTCCTGCAAAGTCATTAAGGGCTCCGAAGCCTTTCCCAAAGGTGGGCAAACGGGTCCCAACGGCAACCGCTTCCTTGCCCGTGAAGCGCACAGATTTGCAACATCCCAGCGAAAAACTCCCGCCCAAAAGCTGCCAAAATAAGAAGTCACAGCCGACGCAAATTATGATCACCGTACTCCTTGAACTTCTCTCGGCTCATGATGCCAGTGTCTTCTAGGTCGAAGACCTGGGCATGAATGAAAAGCGCCCGTTTTTCACCCGGTGACTTTAAATGGCTGTGGCGGTGTGTGTAGGCTTCACCATGACCCCACTTAAATCAGGAGCCAGCTCAAGCAGCCAGGAATCGGAATCGGTTTTGCAGGCTCAAGTGTCCTTTCGAGGACCTGACCGGCTGCTTCCTGTTCCCCCTGTTTGGCACCCCAAATGATTGTTCATTGGTTTGAGCTCTTGGTGGACACCAGTCCCGTGAAAATCTATGTCCAGCGGCCATGTTGAGTTGATGTTCCAACATTTCCAACCTTTGACATGCACAGCCACTTTGGGAATGTCAGAGGGCTTTTGCCCATTTGCGCCCTCCCTATGTGGCCCCCCTCCCTCGAACAGGTCCTGGGCTACAACCCAACGACCAGACCTCCCTGGTCTGGCTTTTGGTAAGGGAAAGTGAGACCAAATGATCCGTGAACATGCTCATACCCATGTGCTGATCCGGAGTTCATAGTCGGGAGTCTTAGCTAGGGTTGACACCCGAAATATTGCAAGCGGCCAAACCACCAACCAACCGACCAACCGACCAACTAGCCATTCAAGCAAGCAACCACGTCCAATCCAACGTATTGCCGCTGAAGCGTCCAACATGAGGGACCTAGGGTAGGAGTATCGTCCCGGGAAAGGCTTTGCACCCTCGAAGGTTTCACCAAAACCGGCCACACCTTTGGGCAAAATGAGGCTGCTCACAAGCCAGTGGCATTATGTTCTGACAGGGCTACCTGTTCTTCTCCCTTGAACACCCCACCAAAATGAACCTCAATTGAGACTGGTCCACAAAGCGGACTGCAAAAGGAAAATCTAGGGACTGTCTGAAACAAGGGACCAAAGCGATCGAAAGTCAATCTCCGCGCACCTGAAAAGCCTTCAAGAGAGTGTCCTCCGTGGTCGGCGGCCTCCCGGAGAAAAAACAAAAAAGCCCCCGGCCGAGGTTTGATTTTGCGCAGCGTGGCGTTCCATGCGGCCGAGCGCGCGCGCCTGTAGTTTCCTTTGAAGAAACGGATGAAGCCTTCCACCTCGGAAAGGGCCGTGGCTGAATGACTTGTGTCTAGCTGAAATGACTGTTGCAAAAAAAATCAGCCTTATGATGCCAATCTGGGTCATTCCCAGGAATACTTTTTCACTTTGAAGAGCCCATTGGTAGAAGCGAAGTGATTCTAAAATACTATGCCCACAACAATGGTTGAAGCCGTTTGGATGAAGAAAACAGACATCAAACGTGCGAAAAGAACACCAAAAGGCTTTGTGCTTCGCATTGTGAGAACCCCAAGGCCAGGTCTTTGGGACGCCTTTTTTGCTTGAGATTCCATCCGGGAAAAGAACGTGGGGGGCGGCGTTCCCATCGCCGATATCCAATACACATCACAATTAAGGTTGCACACCGTACCCACTACCGATTCCTTGGCTGTGACTTCGAGGCGGAGAAACATCTTTGGTCCAAGGCAGTGGTGATGATCTTTGCAGTATTCAGAGACTGCCGGTTGGCTTGTCTCAAAGTGCTTTTGAAACAGTGCAGCACTCTGCCGGCATGCTGATCCGAGCGGCATCCAAGCCCACTTGCGGAACTGGTCTCAGCATTTCCGCCAGCTCCTGTCCAATGTCCACAGTCGAAATCGAGCGCATGCTCAAAAGCTCTAAATCGGTCAGGCTTGGAATCCAGAAAGAGACAAAGACGCACAATCAGTGTGAGTGAAGTGACCCCTGTCAGCAGAATCCGCACAGAGGCACGGCCCGATTGCAACCGACTGTTTGATGTTGTTGGAGCCAACCCGAGCTTTCTGGAGGCTCGAACGAATTGTCTCTATGCTGGACAACCGTCGAACGGTTTCTTGCAAGATAATCGATGTCCTTTCCTCATCCCAGGAGCTATGCACATAACTCATTCCTCTCATTCTGGTGACCATCACCATCAAGCACAGCTCAAGGTTGACAAGCAATACCCAGCAACCAAACAATGCGCCACAAACGTGGGCCTTCCCTCTCAGTCTGCAAGCTTGGCCCATTGCCAGTCGGCACACGTGTCAAGCCGAAAATTGGAGCCCAGTCCCACTGTCATCCATTCACCCAGAGGGTTGGCCCGAGACCCCCTCCCTCGACATGCGGCTTTCCGTGTGGCTTCGTGAGCGGAATGGCGAGTCGCTCGCCCGTCGCACTCGTACTAGCACACTGTCTTCAACACCTGTTTGCAGCTTCTTACATCCAGCTAGAGGATAAAGGTTTAAGCAATGGTATTTCGTTATGTTGAGAAAGGTTGGCCCCACCCTAATATGGGTTTCCTGAACCCCAAAACGCCGCTCGCGTATCCCGTCAAAAGCCTGTCCTCCCTCGTTTTCAGATATTCGAATGGCTGAAATTGCCCTCAATTGTTTCAGAGCAATTATCGGTTTTAGTTGCCAACGATCCCAAGAGGATTTCCAAACTTGGCTGGGCTGTAATGTTGACCGGATTGATTCACCGATTGATTTGTCCGGACAAGGTCTCCCCTGGAAGGAAGGTATAAGCAATTTGAATCAATCACTGGGAGAGTTGTTGGTGAGAACATTGTGGGGGGGGGGGCACACCCCATGCTCAAATACGCTGATCAAAACTCCTTCTCCTGGCTCCCGCTGATTCCCGGTAACGACTAGAAGGGCGGCCTTGCAAGTGCAAGCCCCCCCCCCTCGACTGCCCGTTTTCACCGGAAAAACCGCTGGTCCTCATCGGTTGGGTTCTGGCCAAAGGCACGGAAAAGGATTCCCACCTGGACGGACTTTGACTGCTGGAGTCATTTTGTGCCGTTGAATTGAAGGGGTCCCCATAAAGAGGTTGCTAGGTATCCACCACCAAGCATGACGAAACGCCATGGGCCACTACCTTATTCACTTCCCAATTGGGCGGCCACAACGGCCACACATACAGTCCGCCTTTGGTTCAAAAAAGGGGTCCCAACTCTTGACAACCCCAACAGCCTTGGTTCTGGATTTCTCTGGCAAGTCCTATGTTCACATGGTTTGATGTGCTTTTTACTGACTCTTTAACCCCAGTGACCGTAACGACCAAAACGAATCACTATTCCTTCTCCCGAAGTCACAGCACCTCTCATCAGGAACCCCCCACAGACATCCCAATCAGGTTTCCAAGCCTGAATTGGTGGTTTGGCTTGGCGGTTTGGATTGGTTCAGACTTGAACCCCATGGTTCGAATGCGACTTGCTTTGGGGGGTGCTACCCACACCAAACCGCGACAGAAAAATCCCAATTGCTGACAGGGCAACTTCCGGGAGTCGGCCTGCTGCGGGTTCAGGCGACCTCAGGAGAGGCCAGCGAGCTGCCGGAATGCGAAGCTTCCAGACTGGGGTGCGTGTCGTCTTGGGCGTGTTGTTGTTGTTGTGTTGTTGTTGTTGTTGTTGTTGTTGTTGTTGTTGTTGTTGTTGTTGTTGTTGTTGTTGTTGTTGTTGTTGTTGTTGTTGTTGTTGTTGTCGTTGTCGTTGTCGTTGTCGTTAGCGTTGTCGTTGTCGTTGTCGTTGTCGTTGTCGTTGTCGTTGTGGTTGTCGTTGTCGTTGTCGTTGTCGTTGTCGTTGTCGTTGTCGTTGTCGTTGT